ACACACACACACACACACACACACACACACACACACACACACACACAACAGCAGCAGCAGCAGCAGCACAGCCGAATACCTGCTTTTATTTCTGATGGGGCAGCTGTGGTGGAGTGGTTAGGGGAGTCATCCTGGAACCAGAAGGTCACTGGTTCAATCCCCCGTCCAGCCGTCTCAGTCGTTGTGTCCTTGGGCAAGACACTTCACCCATCTTGCCTACTGATGGTGGTCAGAGGGTCCGGTGGCGCCGATGCATGGCAACCCCACCTCTGTCAGTGTGCCCCAGGGCAGCTGTGGCTACAGTGTAGCTTACCATCATCAGTTTGTGTGAATGTGAKTTTGAATGGGTGAATGTCTGCTARTGTAAAGCGCTTTGGGGTCYGGAGGGACTTGAAAAGCGCTCTATAAGTTCAGTACCATTTACCAGTACCATTATGTCAATAAGTTCAACTTTCTTTCTGTCTGATCGGTACTCAGCGTTTTGTTTTCTTTTTTTATATTTTATTTTAGCCACTCATATGTCATTCAACTCATTCTGGAGACGTGTGCTTTGATTTAATGGTTATACTTTTAAAAACATTTAAATTTATTTACAAAAATTGTTCCCATAGAAGCACATCAAAATCTTTTCAATTCCTTCATTCCAACCTTTTTCACGTCAAAGTCTGCTTCAGCTATAATTTTGCCATCTTGTGTTAAATTTGACTTTTTAGCTAGCCGTTCACAGTTTTTAGTTAGCTGTTAGCTGCTCCGAGCCAGCCTGTTGATGAATGCAGCTATTCTTCTACTTTTTAAAGAATTAAACAATCTGCCAGTTCTTTATACTTTTAGCTAGCCTTTTGCTGCTTTCAGCTTTTAACTGACAGCAAAACATATCTGGGTCAGACTACAGGAGAGCGTTTGGCCTGGAACCATAAAAAGGACCTGGGCCAGGGTCCTTTTTTTTCCCCCCAATGACCCGTAACTGACACATATGGACCAGAGGTGCTACAAAACTACTACATTTGTCCCAGATGTGGCCCAGACCCAGGCTCTGGTACAGTGACTAGTCACAAAATGCAGGCCAGATCCAGTTCCAACTCAGATTTATACAACAGGTTTAAATAAAACACACAATGTTGAGAAGTTTAGCTTGACAACATCAGAACCTGAATAATATAAACTCCTAACACCAGAGGGATGCATCATAAATGTGCTGCTTCTTTTTGATGGTTTCATTTTCCTTGAGCCAGTTTAAATCAGAGCCAAAGAGAGCAGAACCTCACTTTGTGTCAGATCACATGTGATCAGCGGTTGTTTGTGACAACCTCAACATGCCCTAAAAGGTTTCATGAAAATCTGCTCATAATGTTTTGAGTGATCTTTCACAAACAAACCAACATGACTGACAACATGCTGCTTGTTGGAGGTAAAACCTGAGTCTGAAACGTTCAACAAAGAAAGAAACAAAAAGTCATCTCTTCCTAACTTTACCTGAGTTTGGAGGAAATAAAACTTTGATTTCTCTTGAATTTCCTCTAAATCATTGACCATTTTTTACTCCTCATGAAGCTCAGGTGCAGTTTAAGTCTTCCAAAATGACTTCAAATACCACACATCTCCTAGAGTGAATCTTTCAAAAGGACTAAAGAATACCACTCACTATCAAAACTTCCAATATATATA